TCATCAGAATCATAATCAGCAGCAGCCAGCCGATGTCTCGACCGCCTTTGTCTTCCCATGAGGTTGAGCTGCACTCACCGTAATTACATTGTCTGTGTGATCAATGCAGAGAGAGAGAGAGAAGGGGGGGGGGGGGACGTGAGTGGGAGGCACGGGGGAAGGAGGGTGGGTGGGTCTGTGGCTATTAAGAGATTGGATAGACACAGGGGAGAGAGGGGAGGAGAGAGGGGGGAGAGAGAGGGGGAGAGAGGCCGGGAGAGAGGCCAGGAGAGAGGGGGGGGAGAGAGAGGGGGGAGAGAGGCTGGGAGAGAGGCCGGGAGAGAGGGGGGATAGAGGGGAGAGAGAGAGGAGAGAGGGGGGAGAGAGGGGAGAGAGAGGGGGGAGAGAGGGGAGAGAGGGGAGGAGAGAGGGGGGAGAGAAGCCGGGAGAGAGAGGGGGGGAGAGAGGGGAGAGAGGCCGGGAGAGAGGCCGGGAGAGAGAGGGGGGAGAGAGGGGAGGAGATAGGGGGGAGAGAGGGGAGAGAGGCCGGGAGAGAGGCCGGGTGAGAGGGGGGATAGAGGGGAGAGAGGGGAGGAGAGAGGGGAGAGAGAGGGGAGGAGAGAGGGGAGAGAGAGGGGAGAGAGGGGGGAGGGAGAGGGGAGAGAGATAAATGAGAGGGCCTGAATGAGGGAGATCGGAGGGGGAGACAGGACAGAGTTTAGGGAGTGCAGGATGAAAGAGAGAGAGAGGTGAGTGGACACGGAGTAGGGAGAGAGGGGGGTAGAGAGAGAGGAGAGGCAGAGAGGGGGGTAGAGAGAGAGGGGGGCAGAGAGAGGGGGGTAGAGAGAGAGGGAAGGGGTAAGGAGAGGAGAAAAAAAAAGAAAATAACATTATGTTGTGTCTTTAATTTAAAAGGGGGGGGGGGCTTACATAAAGCAAAGCATAACAAAAAAAAACAAAAAAACGAAATGATGAACGAAGCAAAGTGCCGACTACACCGGGCATCTTCTTGTTTCCTCTGATCGTCAGAAAAAAGAGAGAGGTGAGTAGGAGAGAAGGTTAGGGGAGCTCTAAGGAGAATTAGGGGAGATGTGTGAGCTGAGATCGCTGACGGAGATAGGCAGGAATCGCAATGTTTATAGTGGGGGTGGGAAATCAGATGAGCTATGAAGCTCTTCTTTTTGAACAGATGTCCAGTCGGGGAATGTGAATAGAGGAGGAGTGGTGGTTGAGGAGTGGTTGGAGATTGGGGGGAGGGAGGGGTTAATATACAGGATGGAGAGAGGATGAGCGAGACGTGGGAGTGAGAGGGGAGAGCGGTGAGTTGATGGAGAGGAATTGGAGAAGGATCTGGAGGAGGAGGAATTGGAGGAGGATCTGGAGGAGGAGGAATTGGAGGAGGATCTGGAGGAGGAGGGATTACACAGGGGTCACACACAGGAGTCACACAGAGGTCACACAGGGGTCACACAGAAGTCAAACACAGGTGTCACACAAAGGGGTTACACACAGAGGTCATACAAAGGGGTTACACACAGAGGTCACACAAAGGGGTTACACACAGAGGTCAAACACAGGGGTCACACAAAGGGGTCACACACAGAGGTCACTCAAAGGAGTCACACAGAGGTCACTCACAGGAGTCACACAGAGGTCACACACAGGGGTCACACACAGAGGTCAAACACAGGTGTCACACAGAGGGGTCCCACAGAGGAGTTACACAGAGGTCACACACAGGGGTCACACACAGAGGTCACACAGAGGTGTCACACAGAGGGGTCCCACAGAGGAGTTACACAGAGGTCACACACAGGGGTCACACACAGAGGTCACACAGGTCACACACAGAGAGCGCCGCCAGGTGTCTCACGACTCAAAGTCGGCCCGGCAGGGATCCTGGGTTCCAATCCCGCTGTGGTTACAGCGAGTTCTCGAGTCTAGCGAGTGGACGGTCTTAGCCCGCTCACCCCAAGACTCGCAGAGAGACCCATAGACTCACACAGAGACCCATAGACTCACACAGAGACCCATAGACTCACACAGAGACCCATAGACTCACACAGAGACCCATAGACTCACATAGAGACCCATAGACTTACATAGAGACCCATGACTCGCAGAGAGACCCATAGACTCACATAGAGACCCATAGACTCACACAGAGACCCATAGACTCACACAGAGACCCATAGACTTACATAGAGCCCAATACACTTACATAGAGACCCATAGACTCACACAGAGACCCATAGACTCACATAGAGACCCATAGACTCACACAGAGCCCAATAACCTTATATAGAGACCCATAGACTCACATAGAGACCCATAGACTCACACCCATAGACTCACACAGAGCCCAATACACTTATATAGAGACCCATAGACTCACATAGAGACCCATAGACTCACATAGAGACCCATAGACTCACACAGAGCCCAATACACTTACATAGAGACCCATAGACTTACATAGAGACCCATAGACTTACATAGAGCCCAATACACTTATATAGAGACCCATGAACTTACATAGAGACCCATAGACTCACATAGAGACCCATAGACTTACATAGAGACCCATATACTTACATAGAGACCCATAGACTTACATAGAGACCACAGACTCACATAGAGACCCGTAGACTCACATAGAGACCCATAGACTCACATAGAGACCCATAGACTTACATAGAGACCCATAGACTCACATAGAGACCCATAGACTCACACAGAGACCCATAGACTCACATAGAGACCCATAGATTCACATAGAGACCCATAGACTCACATAGAGACCCATATACTCACATAGAGACCCATAGACTCACACAGAGGTCCATAGACTCACACAGAGACCCATAGACTCACATAGAGACCCATGGACTCACATATAGACCCATAGACTCACATAGAAACACATAGACTCACATAAAGACCCATAGACTCACACCCATAGACTCACATAGAGACCCATAGACTCACATAGAGACCCATAGACTTACATAGAGACCCATAGACTCACATAGAGACCCATATACTTACATAGAGACGCATAGATTTGCATAGAGACCCGTAGACTCACACAGAGACTCATAGATTTACATAGAGACCGATAGACTCACAAATAGACCCAGAGACTCACATAGAGACCCATAGACTTACATAGAGACCATAGACTCACATAGAGACCCATAGACTTACATAGAGACCCATATACTTACATAGAGACCAATAGACTTACATAGAGACCACAGACTCACATAGAGACCCATAGACTAACATAGAGACCCATAGACTTACATAGAGAACCATAGATTCACATAGAGACCCATAGACTTACATAGAGACCCATAGACTCACACAGACTCGTATAGACCGAGTGGTGATGAAACCGGGTTCTCAAGTGCAGTGAGTTGATGGTTTAAGCCCGGTCACCAAATGACGTCACAACAACAACTCCATCACATTAAAAGACGTCAAAACAACAACTCCATCACATTAAAAGACGTCAAACAACTCCATCACAATAAATGACGTCAAAACAACAACTCCATCACATTAAATGACGTCACAACAACAACTCTATCACATTAAAAACGTCACAACAACTCCATCCCATTAAATGACGTCACAGCAACAAGAACTCCATCACATTAAGTGACGTCAGAACAACAACTCCTCACATTAAATGACGTCACAACAACAACTCATCACGTTAAGTGCAGTATCGCTGGACAGGAGGGAGAGGGGAGATTTGAGAGGGAGTGGAGAGAGAGAGAGCGCCAATAATTGAATTAAATATTGAGAGAGGGGGAGGGAGAGGGTTGATGGGGGGGAGGAGGAGGAGGGGGAGACGGCGAGACATTGGGAGAAGCATTGAGAGAGAGGAGATGGGGGAGATATCTGAGAGAGAGAGGAGATGGGGAGATATCTGAGAGAGGGAGGGGAGAGAAAGGAGGTGGGGGAGTATCTGAGAAAGAGGAGATGGGGGAGATATCTGAGAGAAAGATGAGATGGGGGAATATCTGAAAGAGAAAGGAGATGGGGGAGATATCTGAGAGAGAGTAGATGGGGAGATATCTGAGAGAGGGAGGGGAGAGAAAGGAGATGGGGGAGATATCTGAGAGAGAAAGGAGATGGGGGAGATATCTGAGAGAGGAGAGAAAGGAGATGGGGGAGATATCTGAAAGAGAAAGGAGATGGAGGAGATATCTGAGAGAGAGAAAGGAGAGAGAGGAGATGGGGGAGAAGCATTGAGAGAGAAAGGAGATGGGGGAGATATCTGAGAGAGAGGAGAGAAAGGAGATGGGGGAGATATCTGAGAGAGAAAGGAGATGGAGGAGATATCTGAGAGAGAGAAAGGAGAGAGAGGAGATGGGGGAGAAGCATTGAGAGAGAGAAAGGAGATGGGGGAGATATCTGAGAGAGAGGAGAGAAAGGAGATGGGGGAGATATCTGAGAGAGAAGAGAGAGGAGATGGGGGAGATATCTGAGAGAGAGGAGATATCTGACAGAGAGAGGAGAGAAAGGAGATGGAGGAGATATCTGAGAGAGAGAGGGCAGATGGGGGAGATATCTGAGAGAGAGAGAAAGGAGATGGGGGAGATATCTGAGAGAGAGGAGATGGGGGAGATATCTGAGAGAGGGAGGGGGTAGAGAGAGAGTGGGAAGGGGTAATGAGAGCAGAGCGTGAAATCTTTAATTTAAAAGGGGAGGGGGGGGGTTAACATAAAGCAAAGCATAAAACAACCCGAAATGATGAACTATGCGAAGTGCCGACTACAACGAGCATCTTCTTGATTCCTCTGATCGTAGAAAGAAAAAGAGAGGGAGGGGAGGGAGGGGGGAGACACATTAAGAGGATAGCCAAAGAGATTCAGTGAGATATTGAGAGAGAGAGGGAGGCTTTGAGAGAGAGAGGGGGGGGAGGCTTTAGGAGAGAGAGATAGGAGGGAGAGGCTTTGAGAGAGAGAGAAGGAGGGAGAGGCTTTGAGAGAGAGATAGGAGGGAGAGGCTTTGAGAGAGAGAGAGAGGGGAGGGGAGGTTTGAGAGAGAGATAAGAGGGAAAGGCTTTGGGAGAGAGAGGGGGAGAGGCTTTGAGAGAGTGGCGAAATGAGATGTGGAGTGAAACATGTAGAGGGGAGTGAGTGAAGGAGAGAGTGAAGGAGAGAGTGAAGGAGAGAGTGAAGGAGAGAGTGAAGGAGAGAGTGAAGGAGAGAGAGAGAGACTGAGAGTGGAGTGAGAGAGAGGAAGAGAGAGCGGTGAGTCTCGCTGTATCCCCGACTTCACATCTGCGTCAAATCACCGTGAGACTCACACACACAGGTACACACACGTGTACACACACACACGTACACACACGTGTACACACACACACACGTACACACACACACACGTGTACACACACACGTGTACACACACACAGGTACACACACACACAGGTACACACATACACACGTACACACACACAGGTACACACACACAGGTACACACAGATACACACACACAGGTACACACACACACGTGTACACACACACACAGGTACACACATACACACGTACACACACACAGGTACACACACACAGGTACACACACACACAGGTACACACACACACAGGTACACACACACAGGTACACACACAGGTACACACACACACACAGGTACACACACACACACACACAGGTACACACACACGCGTACACACACACACACACGCGTACACACACACACACACGCGTACACACACACACGCGTACACACACACGCGTACACACACACGCGTACACACACACACGCGTACACATACACACGCGTACACATACACACAGGTACACACACACACAGGTACACACACAGGTACACACACACGTACACACACACGCGTACACACACACAGGTACACACACATGCGTACACACACACACAGGTACACACACACACGCGTACACACACGCACAGGTACACACACACGTATATATACACACACACACGCGTACACACACACGCGTACACACACACATACACAGGTACACACACACAGGTACACACACACAGGTACACACACGTATACAGACACGTATACACACGCACACAAACACGTATACACAGACAAATTAGACAAAGATCCCTGTATAGCCTTAACAGACTGTTGGGGCAAGTGCTGTTAGCGAGCAGCACCTACAGCATGAAGGTCGGCACGCTACACGAGGGGGTGGGTGGCCAACACCATGCCCGGCCGCCTTTGTCTCCCCAGTGGCGATGTTTACTACACGCCACCGCATCAGGTACTCATTTCAGTCTGAGTCGACCTAGGGGAGGCCGCGCGCGTGCGCGCATACACACATACACACAAACACTGCACGTTACATACAATGCACAGCCACACGACCTGCTGCTGATGCTGTTGTTGTTGTTTGTGTATCCGCGCTATTGCTCACGTGTTGTTGACGGTGCGTTGGCTGCGTTAGACTCGCTGCGTTATTGCTGCACCGCTGACGATCAACGCCAAGCGTTCACACCCAACCAACAGCCGCCTGAGATCTGGGGGCCTCTACGTGGTGAGATGTATATTCTTAGTTCTTTCGGTAAAGTCACGTTGAAGGGAAACAATAAAATAATAAAATATATATAAAAACAAAAAAATTATCACGACGTTTCGACCATAACACAAACGGTCGTCATCAGGTGTGTCGGTTTGCATAAATGTATTTATTTTTTAACGGCGTATTTATTTATTTATTTATTAAATACGTTACCGCCATGCACAGCGATTTGGCAGTTTATTTAGAAGGACTAGTCCATCTATGTTCTGAAAAGAGGAGGGGGGAGACGAAAAATTTTAATGTCTGCTGTCTGAAAGCCACTGTAAGCGTGAACAATCAATTAAGACCCGAAATGGTTTATCAAATCCTTCCAATGATTGCTAAGCCACAATCCATCTTCTCGGTTGAAATTGCCTCTGTGCTTGTATATGTGGATAGCCTCGTGAACGAATCTCTCATGGTAGCCAGATGTCTTCGGACAATCAATGATGAGGTGTTCACCATTGGGCACCGGATTTCCCCAGAGGGAAAAAAACCCCACGCGTATGGACGGAGCAGATGGGGATGAGTCCACACACTCTGTTGTACCGCCGTCTCCTGCCAGAGCCACGTGGTAGGGGTTTTTCCTCGACGCCCACGTGAAGAAATGTGGAACAGATGGAGATTTAGATCCAGGACGCGGATTCACGGCCCGGCCGGACAGTGCGCCCGTGGGCGAGGATAACGTCGGAGTGGAAGCCAAGGAATGGGACGCGTCGCAGAGGACGCGCCCCCAAGGCGGAGATGGAGCAATGACATCTGTTCATCCGCTGGCGCTGGGTGCGATCGCTGTATCACTGGAGCACGAGTGTGGGGACGGGGGGGGGGGGCTGGGGAGGCATTCATCCAGCAGTGGATTGACCACGGCTGATGACGTTGATAATGATCTGTATCATCTGTTCAGCCACCCGGTTTCTTAGCTCTAGCCTTAAACGCCAACTATAACTGTAGCTCTGACCGCATGCTCTCTCCACAGCAATGACACCTTGAGACATGTCGGACCACGAGGATGACTCAAGGCCCAGGCCGGGAGGTTCAAGGCCGAGGTCAGGATGGTCGGGAGGTATCCAGCCTGCGTTGGCAGGGTCAGGGCATGAGTCAGAAGGGCCTGAATGTGAGGGGCTTAGTTCGGGCGACGAGGGGAATAGTTCAGCAGGATCAGAAGACCTTGGGTCCACACCTGAAGATCAGGTGCCTAAGTCAAGAGGATCCGAAGATCAATGGCAAGGGTTGGAAGGGTCTGGAGATAGGGGATCCCCACTGGGAAGGTCACAGCCTGAGTTGAGAGGATATGTAGGCCTGAAGTCTAGCTCCGGGCGATCAGAAGAGTCTGGAGGTCAGTGGCCAGAAGTGGAAGGATCAGGAGGCCTAAACGAGTTGGGACCCAGGCAGGGAGGATCAGGAGTCCTGGGGTACAGACTGGAAGCATCTAGAGGTCAAGGGCCTAGGTCAAGTGGATTGGGAGGGTCTGAAGGTCTGGGAACTGGGCAGGGAGGCTCAGAAGGTCTGGGGCCTTGCTCAAGAGGACCTGGAGGTCTGGGGCCCTGGTTCGACAGCCCAGAACATTTGGGACTTGATTTGGGTAAGTCGGTGCCGAGGTCAGGAAGAAATATAGAATTAGAAGGGTCAGGAAGTCCGAAGATCAGGGAGAGAGGTTCTGGAAGATCAGAAAGTCCCGGTGCAAGCTCTGGATGGTCTGGATATGTAGCACCTGGGCTGGGAGCATCTGAAGATGTAGGATCCGAACCTGGAGGATCTGACAGTCCTGGCTCCAGGCTGGGAGTGTCAGGGTCCAGATCAGGAAAACCAGGGGAATTAGGAGGTCCAGAACCCAGGCTGGTAGAGACAGTCGATCAGATATCTAGGCAAGAAGAACCTGACATGTTCAGGTCCATGTCAGCAGGATCAGAAGGTGCGCTGCCTAAGATGGCGGGAGCAGGACATCCAGAACCCAGGTCTAGAGTGTCTGGATCTCCGAGTCTCATGTTAGGAGGGAATGGGACCAGACCTCGAGAATCAGGAGGGCAAGAATGTCCAGGCTTCAGGAGATCTGAAGTTCAGGGGCCCAGGTCAGGAGGGTCAGAAATATCAGAGTGTCCTGGGATGAAACGATCGAGAGGATGTATTGGTCAGGATCGTGAGATAAAATGGTCGGAGTCTGGACCTAAGGGATCAGAAGATCTGGTATGCAAGCTGGGGCAATCTGGAAGTCTAGAAGCTAGCCTAGGAGGATCAGGAGGCACTGGACCCACGCTTCGAGGGTCTGAAGATCGACAGTCTATACTGGCAGACTCTGGCATTGGATCTGGAGGATTAAAAAAGCCAAGAAGTCGAGAAGAAATAGGATCGGGAGGTCAGGTTCTTAGGTCAGGAGGATCAGAAACGCCAGGAGCTCTTGGGCGTACAGAATTTGGAGGGATGGAGCCCAGATCAGGAGGGTCAGGGGGTCTGGCGTACGGGCCAGGAGGGCCAGAAGGACCTGGTTGTGAATCGCCTGGGCTTGGAGGAACAGAGCCCAGGTCTGGAGTATTAGAAAGTCCGGCACCTACGCTAGGACAATATACAAGTATGGGCCCTCGGTCAGGCAAATCGGGGGTCCCAGGATCTAAGCCTGGAGATCCAGGTTCCATGCTGGGAGGGCCTGAAGGATCGGAAGATGCAGTGACCACGCTGGGACAGTCTGGGCATGTGGGCCTCAACTTTGGGATATCTGGAGAGCCAGTGGCAGTGCTGGAAAGATCAGGCCCTGCGTCAAAAGAATCAGGAGGATCATCAGCTCATGTGCCCACCTCTGGTAGGAGGCCTGAAGTTGTCGAGTCCAGGCAGAAAGAATGCGAAGTTGTAGGGCCCCGCTCAGCAGTATCAGCAGGGTCAGATCTGTGGCCAAAGATGGAAAGTTCGGCAAGCCCAGGACCCATGTCTGGAGGATCTAGATATCTGGGCTCTGTACCGGGAGGATCTGCAGTTGGGTCTGGTGGTCAAGCGCTCAGTTCAGGAGGATTGGAAATATCAGGGAGCCCCAGGATGAGAGCTTCAGACCTAGAGCCCAGTTCAGAAGGTTTAGAATATAGCTCAGGAGGACCGAATGGCCAGAGGCCTGGGCTGAGAGGATCAGAACCTATACCTGCCGGTTCAGAAGATCCGGTGCCCAGGCTGAGACGATCTGTAGGTGTGGGACATGGCTCAGGAGGATCTGCAAGACCAGCACCCGTGTTGGAAGCATCAAGGCCAGGGTCAAAACAATCCGGAGCGTCGCTAGATCCTGGACCCGGCTCCGGAGGATCCGGAGGCGCAGGGGCCAAAGCAAATGGATCAGGAGGAGCGCGACCGGAGCCGGGGATTCGAGGGGCCTCATCGGAAGGATCAGAAGCTGTACGGTGCAAGCTGGCGGCGGCTTTGTCAGGAGGATCGGCCTGCCCAGGGCCCCGGCCCGGAGAACCGAAAGGCCTACGGGCCGGCCGCGGGGCACCAGGGGACGCAGGGCCGCCTTGCGGAGGAGCGGGAGGCGCGGGATCCAGCTGCAGCCGCTGCGGGGGAGCGCTGGGCCACGGTGAACGAGTGCGTGTCACGGGGACCGGGGCACAGTTCCATCCCGCCTGCTTCGTCTGCGCCCAGTGCTTCCAGAGGCTCCCAAAGGGCCTCTTCTTCGAGGTGGGTGGGCCACCGCTGTGCAAGTCGCCGCTGCACTCTCACTGCTGCACTTTACACTCACCCGCTGCACACTCACCTGCTACACTCTCACTGCTGCACTTTACACTCACCCGCAGCACACTCACTGCTGCACACTCACTGCTGCACTTTACACTCACCCACTGCACTATCACTGCTGCACACTCACTGCTGCACTTGCACTCACCCACTGCACTCTCACTGCTGCACTTTACACTCACCCGCTGCACACTCACTGCTGCACACTCACTGCTGCACTTTACACTCACCCGCAGCACACTCACTGCTGCACACTCACTGCTGCACTTTACACTCACCCACTGCACTATCACTGCTGCACACGCACTGCTGCACTTGCACTCACCCGCTGCACTATCATTGCTGCACTCTCACTGCTGCACTTTACACTCAACCGCTGCACACTCACTGCTGCACATTCACTAATCCGCTGCACTATCACTGCTGCACTCTCACTGCTACACTTTTCACTCATCTGCTGCACTCTCACTGCTGCACTTTTCACTCATCCGCTGCACTATCACTGCTGATGAGTGAATACTGTACATTCACTCATCCGCTGGACACTGCTGCGAATTCACTCATCTGCTGCACTATCGCTGCTGCACAATCCCTCTACAGCCGCATTCATTCCTTACTGTACTCTCGGTCACTGATACAGTCTAATTCACTGCTATATTCACTCACTGCTGCACTATCACAGTTGTATCCTCACTATTGAAACACATTCTCCTGCGGAGGGAGCTGGTTGGAACGTCGGGTTGCTCGGTCAGTGGCCAGGGTCAACGGCGGCACCACCACGTGGTGTGTCCCGCACAATATGCCCGACTGTGAGGGCGGGCACAAGCCGGCGTGAGTAGGTGAAACGTTGAGTTTTATAAGGGCACCACGGGGTGACCAGCTCCTCCCCACCCAGCCCCACCCCACCCTCCCCACCCTCCCCACCCAGCCCCTCCCCACCCAGCCCCTCCCCCCACCCTCCCCACCCTCCTCACCCAGCCCCTCCCCACCCTCCCCACCCAGCCCCTCCCCACCCTCCCCACCCAGCCCCACCCTCCCCACCCTCCCCTCCCCACCCAGCCCCTCCCCACCCAGCCCCTCCCCACCCTCCCCACCCAGCCCCTCCCCACCCAGCCCCTCCCCACCCAGCCCCTCCCCACCTAGCCCCACCCCTCCCATGTTTGGATGCACGACGGACGGACAGACACAATAATCCTCTGTGTGCTACTGCTGCTGCTGGTGTAGTAACCAGGAGGTTCCTACACACTGAAATATAAACTGTTGCACTCGCACTCACTGCTGCAGGTTTCCCCTGCACAGCTGCACTCTTACTCACCACTATAAAATCATTGCACTGCTGCACTCCCACGTCACTGCTGCACTCTCACGTCACTGCTGCACTCTCACGTCACTGCTGCACTCTCACTGCTGCACTCTCACGTCATTGCTGCACCCTGTCACTGCTGCACTCTGTCACTGCTGCACTCTCACTGCTGCACTCTCACGTCACTGCTGCACGCTCACGTCACTGCTGCACCCTCACTGCTGCACCCTGTCACTGCTGAACTCTGTCACTGCTGCACTCTGTCACTGCTGCACTCTCACTGCTGCACCCTCATGTCACTGCTGCACACTCACGTCACTGCTGCACTGTCACTGCTGCACACTGTCACTGCTGCACTCTCACGTCACTGCTGCACCCTCACGTCACTACTGCACACTCACGTCACTGCTGCACCCTCACTGCTGCACACTATTGTCACTGCTGCACCATCGTGTCACTGCTGCACCCCCAAGTCACTGCTGCACGCTCACTGCTGCACTCTCACGTCACTACTGCACTCTCACGTTACTGCTGCACCCTCACGTCACTGCTGCACCCTCACGTCACTGCTGCATCCTCACGTCACTGCTGCACCCTCACGTCGCTGCTGCACCCTCACGTCACTGCTGCACCCTCAGGTCACTGCTGCACCCTCACATCACTGCTGCACTCTCACTGTCACTGCTGCACTCTCACGTCACTGCTGCACCCTCACTGTCACTGCTGCACCCTCACTGCTGCACCCTCACTGTCACTGCTGCACCCTCACTGCTGCACCTTCACATCACTGCCGCACTCTGACTGTCACTGTTGCACCCTCACGTCACTGCTGCACGCTCACTGCTGCACTCTCACGTCACTGCTGCACCATCGTGTCACTGCTGCACCATCATGTCACTGCTGCACTCTCACGTCACTGCTGCACTCTCACGTCACTGCTGCACCCTCATGTCACTGCTGCACTCTCACGTCACTGCTGCACCCTCATGTCACTGCTGCACACTCATGTCACTGCTGCACTTTCACGTCACTGCTGCACTCTCACTGCTGCACCCTCATGTCACTGCTGCACTTTCACGTCACTGCTGCACTCTCACTGCTGCACTCTCACTGTCACTGCTCCACGCTCACTGCTGCACTCTCACGTCACTGCTGCACACTCACGTCACTGCTGCACACTCACGTCACTGCTGCACACTCACGTCACTGCTGCACTGTCACTGCTGCACTCTCACGTCACTGCTGCACACTCACGTCACTGCTGCACTCTCACTGTCACTGCTGCACCCTCACTGCTGCACTCTCACTGTCACTGCTGCTGATGCTGCTGCACTCTGCAGTTCGAAGGGCGAATGTTCTGCGAGAGAGACTTCATGGTGCTGTACTCACCTTGCTGCAGGCTGTGTGGTGAGGATCGCACTCACCACTCACCTCACTCACCACTCACCACTCACCTCACTCACCTCACTCACCACTCACCACTCACCTCACTCACCTCACTCACCACTCACCTCACCACTCACCACTCACCTCACTCACCTCACTCACCACTCACCTCACTCACCTCACTCACCACTCACCACTCACCTCACTCACCTCACTCACCACTCACCTCACCACTCACCACTCACCACTCACCTCACTCACCACTCACCACTCACCTCACTCACCTCACTCACCACTCACCACTCACCTCACTCACCTCACTCACCACTCACCTCACTCACCACTCACCTCACTCACCTCACTCACCACTCACCACTCACCTCACTCACCACTCACCACTCACCTCACTCACCACTCACCACTCACCTCACTCACCTCACTCACCACTCACCACTCACCTCACTCACCTCACTCACCACTCACCTCACCACTCACCACTCACCTCACTCACTACTCACCTCACTCACCACTCACCTCACTCACCACTCACCACTCACCTCACTCACCTCACTCACCACTCACCTCACCACTCACCACTCACCTCACTCACCTCACTCACCACTCACCACTCACCTCACTCACCACTCACCTCACTCACCTCACTCACCTCACTCACCACTCACCTCACCACTCACCACTCACCTCACTCACCTCACTCACCACTCACCACTCACCTCACTCACCTCACTCACCACTCATCTCACTCACTACTCACCTCACCACTCACCTCACTCACCACTCACCTCACTCACCTCACTCACCACTCACCTCACTCACCACTCACCTCACTCACCTCACTCACCACTCACCTCACTCACCTCACTCACCACTCACCACTCACCTCACTCACCACTCACCTCACTCACCTCACCACTCACCTCACTCACCACTCACCACTCACCTCACTCACCACTCACCTCACTCACCACTCACCTCACTCACTACTCACCTCACTCACCTCACTCACCACTCACCTCACTCACCACTCACCTCACTCACTGCTCACCTCACTCACCACTCACCTCACTCACTACTCACCTCACTCACCACTCACCACTCACCTCACTCACCTCACTCACCACTCACCTCACTCACCTCATTCACCACTCACCTCACTCACCACTCACCTCACTCACTACTCACCTCACCACTCACCTCACTCACCACTCACCACTAACCTCACTCACTACTCACCTCACTCACCACTCACCTCACTCACCACTCACCTCACTCACTACTCACCTCACCACTCACCTCACTCACCACTCACCACTCACCTCACTCACCACTCACCTCACTCACTACTCACCTCACTCATTACTCACCTCACTCACCACTCACCTCACTCACCACTCACTCACTACTCACCTCACTCACTACTCACCTCACTCACCTCACTCACCTCACTCACCACTCACCTCACTCACCACTCACCACTCACCTCACTCACCTCACCACTCACCTCACTCACCACTCACCACTCACCTCACTCACCTCACTCACCACTCACCACTCACCTCACTCACCTCACTCACCACTCACCACTCACCTCACTCACCTCACTCACCACTCACCACTCACCTCACTCACCACTCACCTCACTCACCTCACCACTCACCTCACTCACCACTCACCTCACTCACCACTCACCTCACTCACTACTCACCTCACTCACCTCACTCACCACTCACCTCACTCACCACTCACCTCACTCACTGCTCACCTCACTCACCACTCACCTCACTCACTACTCACCTCACTCACCACTCACCACTCACCACACTCACCTCACTCACCTCACTCACCACTCACCTCACTCACCTCACTCACCACTCACCTCACTCACCACTCACCTCACTCACTACTCACCTCACCACTCACCTCACTCACCACTCACCACTCACCTCACTCACCACTCACCTCACTCACCACTCACCTCACTCACTACTCACCTCACTCACCACTCACCTCACTCACCACTCACCTCACTCACTACTCACCTCACCACTCACCTCACTCACCACTAACCACTCACCTCACTCACCACTCACCTCACTCACTACTCACCTCACTCACTACTCACCTCACTCACCACTCACCTCACTCACCACTCACTCACTACTCACCTCACTCACTACTCACCTCACTCACCACTCACCTCACTCACCACTCACCTCACTCACCACTCACCACTCACCTCACTCACCTCACCACTCACCTCACTCACCACTCACCTCACTCACCTCACTCACCACTCACCTCACTCACCACTCACCACTCACCTCACTCACTACTCACCATTCACCTCACTCACCACTCACCTCACTCACTACTCACCTCACTCACCACTCACCTCACTCACCACTCACCACTCACCTCACTCACCTCACTCACCACTCACCACTCACCTCACTCACCACTCACCTCACACCTCACCACTCACCTCACTCACCACTCACCTCACTCACCACTCACCTCACTCACTCAACACTCACCACTCACCACTCACCTCACTCACCTCACTCACCTCACTCACCACTCACCTCACTCACCTCACTCACCACTCACCTCACTCACCACTCACCACTCACCTCACTCACCTCACTCACAACTCACCTCACTCACCTCACTCACCACTCACTACTCACCTCACTCACCACTCACCTCACTCACCACTCACCTCACTCACCACTCACCACTCACCTCACTCACCTCACTCACCACTCACCTCACTCACCTCACTCACCACTCACCTCACTCACCACTCACCTCACTCACCTCACCACTCACCTCACTCACCACTCACCTCACTCACCACTCACCTCACTCACTACTCACTCACCACTCACCTCACTCACCACTCACCTCACTCACCACTCACCTCACTCACCTCACCACTCACCTCACTCACCACTCACCTCACTCACCACTCACATCACCACACTCACCACTCACCTCACTCACCACTCACCTCACTCACCTCACCACTCACCTCACTCACCACTCACCACTCACCTCACTCACTGCTCACCTCACTCACCACTCACCTCACTCACTACTCACCTCACTCACCACTCACCACTCACCTCACTCACCAGACACTCACCACTCACCACTCACCTCACTCACCACTCACCTCACCACTCACCTCACTCACCACTCACCACTCACCTCACTCACCACTCACCTCACTCACCAGACACTCACCACTCACCACTCACCTCACTCACCACTCACCTCACTCACCACTCACCACACTCACCACTCACCTCACTCACCACTCACCACTCACCTCACTCACCTCACTCACCTCACCAGTCACCTCACTCACCACTCACCTCACTCACCACTCACATCACCACACTCACCACTCACAACTCACCTCATTCACCACTCACCTCACTCACCTCACCACTCACCTCACTCACCACTCACCACTCACCTCACTCACTACTCACCTCACTCACCACTCACCTCACTCACTACTCACCTCACTCACCACTCACCTCACTCACCAGACACTCACCACTCACCACTCACCTCACTCACCACTCACCTCACTCACCTCACCACTCACCTCACTCACCACTCACCTCACTCACCACTCACCTCACTCACTACTCACCTCACCACTCACCTCACTCACCACTCACCACTCACCTCACTCACTACTCACCTCACTCACTACTCACCTCACTCACCACTCACCTCACTCACCACTCACTCACTACTCACCTCACTCACTACTCACCTCACTCACCACTCACCTCACTCACCACTCACCTCACTCACCACTCACCACTCACCTCACTCACCTCACCACTCACCTCACTCACCACTCACCTCACTCACCACTCACCTCACTCACCACTCACCACTCACCTCACTCACTACTCACCACTCACCTCACTCACCACTCACCTCACTCACTACTCACCTCACTCACCACTCACCTCACTCACCACTCACCACTCACCTCACTCACCTCACTCACCACTCACCACTCACCTCACTCACCACTCACCTCCCACCTCACCACTCACCTCACTCACCACTCACCTCACTCACCACTCACCTCACTCACTCACCACTCACCACTCACCACTCACCTCACTCACCTCACTCACCTCACTCACCACTCACCACTCACCTCACTCACCACTCACCTCACTCACCACTCACCTCACTCACCACTCACCACTCACCTCACTCACCTCACTCACCACTCACCTCACTCACCTCACTCACCACTCACCACTCACTACTCACCTCACTCACCACTCACCTCACTCACCACTCACCTCACTCACCACTCACCTCACTCACCACTCACCACTCACCTCACTCACCTCACTCACCACTCACCTCACTCACCTCACTCACCACTCACCTCACTCACCACTCACCTCACTCACCTCACCACTCACCTCACTCACCACTCACCTCACTCACCACTCACCTCACTCACTACTCACTCACCACTCACCTCACTCACCACTCACCTCACTCACCACTCACCTCACTCACCACTCACCACTCACCTCACTCACCTCACCACTCACCTCACTCACCACTCACCTCACTCACCACTCACATCACCACACTCACCACTCACCACTCACCTCACTCACCACTCACCTCACTCACCTCACCACTCACCTCACTCACCACTCACCACTCACCTCACTCACTACTCACCTCACTCACCACTCACCTCACTCACTACTCAACTCACTCACCACTCACCACTCACCTCACTCACCAGACACTCACCACTCACCACTCACCTCACTCACCACTCACCTCACTCACCAGACACTCACCACTCACCTCACTCACCACTCACCTCACTCACCACTCACCACACTCACCATCACCTCACTCACCACTCACCACTCACCTCACTCACCTCACCACTCACCTCACTCACCACTCACCTCACTCACCACTCACATCACCACACTCACCACTCACCACTCACCTCACTCACCACTCACCTCACTCACCTCACCACTCACCTCACTCACCACTCACCACTCACCTCACTCACTACTCACCTCACTCACCACTCACCTCACTCACTACTCACCTCACTCACCACTCACCACTCACCTCACTCACCAGACACTCACCACTCACCTCACTCACCACTCACCTCACTCACCTCACCACTCACCTCGCTCACCACTCACCACTCACCTCACTCACCACTCACCTCACTCACCAGACACTCACCACTCACCACTCACCTCACTCACCACTCACCTCACTCACCACTCACCACACTCACCACTCACCTTACTCACTTCACCACTCACCTCACTCACCACTCACCTCACTCACTACTCACATCACTCACCACTCACCACTCACCTCACCACTCACCTCACCACTCACCTCACTCACCACACTCACCAGACCCTCACTAGCCACTCACCACACTCACCACTCACCTCACTCACCACTTACCTCACTCACCTCACCACTCACCTCACTCACCTCACTCACCACTCACATCTCACCAGACACTCACCACTAACCACCCACCTCACTCACCACTCACCACTCACCATACACTCACTACTCACCTCACTCACCACTCACCTCACTCACTACTCAACTCACTCACCACTCACCACTCACCTCACTCACCAGACACTCACCACTCACCACTCACCTCACTCACCACTCACCTCACTCACCAGACACTCACCACTCACCTCACTCACCACTCACCTCACTCACCACTCACCACACTCACCACTCACCTCACTCACCACTCACCACTCACCTCACTCACCTCACCACTCACCTCACTCACCACTCACCTCACTCACCACTCACATCACCACACTCACCACTCACCACTCATCTCACTCACCACTCACCTCACTCACCTCACCACTCACCTCACTCACCACTCACCTCACTCACTACTCACCTCACTCACCACTCACCTCACTCACTACTCACCTCACTCACCACTCACCACTCACCTCACTCACCAGACACTCACCACTCACCACTCACCTCACTCACCACTCACCTCACTCACCTCACCACTCACCTCACTAACCACTCACCACTCACCTCACCACTCACCTCACTCACCAGACACTCACCACTCACCACTCACCTCACTCACCACTCACCTCACTCACCACTCACCACACTCACCACTCACCTTACTCACTTCACCACTCACCTCACTCACCACTCACCTCACTCACTACTCACATCACTCACCACTCACCACTCACCTCACCACTCACCTCACCACTCACCTCACTCACCACACTCACCAGACCCTCACTAGCCACTCACCACACTCACCACTCACCTCACTCACCACTTACCTCACTCACCTCACCACTCACCTCACTCACCTCACTCACCACTCACATCTCACCAGACACTCACCACTAACCACCCACCTCACTCACCACTCACCACTCACCATACACTCACTACTCACCTCACTCACCACTCACCTCACTCACTACTCAACTCACTCACCACTCACCACTCACCTCACTCACCAGACACTCACCACTCACCTCACTCACCACTCACCTCACTCACCAGACACTCACCACTCACCTCACTCACCACTCACCTCACTCACCACTCACCACACTCACCACTCACCTCACTCACCACTCACCACTCACCTCACTCACCTCACCACTCACCTCACTCACCACTCACCTCACTCACCACTCACATCACCACACTCACCACTCACCTCACTCACCACTCACCTCACTCACCTCACCACTCACCTCACTCACCACTCACCACTCACCTCACTCACTACTCACCTCACTCACCACTCACCTCACTCACTACTCACCTCACTCACCACTCACCACTCACCTCACTCACCAGACACTCACCACTCACCACTCACCTCACTCACCACTCACCTCACTCACCTCACCACTCACCTCACTCACCACTCACCACTCACCTCACTCACCACTCACCTCACTCACCAGACACTCACCACTCACCACTCACCTCACTCACCACTCACCTCACTCACCACTCACCACACTCACCACTCACCTTACTCACTTCACCACTCACCTCACCTCACCACTCACCTCACTCACCACACTCACCAGACCCTCACTAGCCACTCACCACACTCACCACTCACCTCACTCACCACTTACCTCACTCACCTCACCACTCACCTCACTCACCTCACTGACCACTCACATCTCACCAGACACTCACCACTAACCACCCACCTCACTCACCACTCACCACTCACCATACACTCACTCACCACTCACCACTCACCTCACCACTCACCTCACTCACCACTCACCAGACACTCACCTCACTCACCACTCACCTCACTCACCACTCACCTCACTCACCACTCACCTCACTCACCACTCACCAGACCCTTACCTCACTCACCACTCACCTCACTCACCACTCACCAGACACTCACCACTCACCACCCACCTCACTCACCACTCACCAGACACTCACCATACCCCTCACTACTGGTGCCCTATCTGAATGATTTACTTACCATATGAATGAGTGAGTGAATGAATGAGGGAACGATTGAGTGAATGAGTGAGTGAACGAGTGAATGAATTAGTTAATGAATGACTGGGTAAATGAACAAGTGAAAGCGTAAATGAATGAGTTAACAAGTGAATGAGTGAGTGAACGAGTGAATAAATGTGTGAATGTACAAATGAGAGAATGCGTGAACGAGTGAATGATTGAATGCACGAGTGAATGAGTGAGTGAACGAGTGATTGAATGCATGAGAGAACGAGTGAGTGTATGAGTGAATGAGTGTGTTAGTGAATGAGTGAGAGAACGAGTAAATTAGTGAGTGAACGAGTGCGTGAATGAGTGAGTGAATGCATGAGTGAACGGTGAGTGAGTGCATGGGTGAGTTAACAAGTAAGTGAATGAGTGAGTGAACGAGTGAATGAGTGAGTGAGTTAACAAGTGACTGAATGGACGAGTGACTGAATGAATGAGTGAATGCATGAGTGAACGAGTGAGTGAACGACTGAATGAATGACTGAAGGAGTGAGTGAATGATTGAATGCACGAGCGATTGAAAGAGTAAGTGAACGAGGGAGTGAACGACTGAGTAAACCAGTGATTGAGTGAGTGAATAAGTAAATGCACGAGTGAATGAGTGAGTGAGTGAATGAGTGACTGAATGGGTGTGTTAGTGAACGAGTAATGAGTGAGTGAACGAGTGAATGAGTGAGTGAACGATTGAGTGAATGCGTGAGTGAACGGTGATTGAGTGAGTGAATGAGTGAGTGAATGAACGAGTGAGTGAATGAGTGAGTGAAAACGAGTGAGTGAATGGGTGTGTTAGTGAACGAGTAAGTGAACGAGTGAATGAATGAGTGAACGAGTGAATGAGTGAGTGAGTGAACGAGTGCGTGAACGAGTGAGTGAATGAGTGAGTGAACGAGTGAATGAGTGTGAATGAGTGAGTGAGTGAACGAGTGAGTGAACGAGTGAGTAAACCAGTGATTGAGTGAGTGAATGAGTGAATTCGTGAACGAGTAAGTGAACGAATGAGTGAATGAGTGCACGAGTGAGTGAATGAGTGAGTGAACTAGTGAGGTAGTGAACGAGTGAGTGAATGAGTGGGTTAGTGAGCGGGTGAGTGAATGAGTGAGTGAACGAGTGCGTGAACGAGTGAGTGAATGCATGAGTGAATGCATCAGTGAACAAGTGAGTGAGTTAGTGAACGGTGATTGAGTGAGTGAATGATTGAGTGTACAAGTGAGTGAGTGAACGTGTGAGTGAACCAGTGAGTAAACGAGTTAACGAGTGAGTCAATGAGTGAGTGAGTGCACTAGTTAGTGAATGAGTGAGTGAACGAGTGAACGAGTGAGTGTATGAGTGAGTGAATGAGCGAGTGATGAATAAGCGAGTGAGTTAATTAGTGGGTGAACGAGTGAGTGGATGAGCGAGTGAGTCAACGAGTGAGTGAATGAGTGAACGAGTGATTGAATGTGTGTGAACGAGTGAGTGAATGAGTGAACGAGTGAGTGAGTGAATGAGTGAGTTAGTGAGCGAGTAAGTGAACGAGTGAGTCGATGAGTGAGTGAATGAGCAAGTGCGTGAACGAGTGAGTGAATGAGTGAGTGAACGGGAATTGAGTGAGTGAATGAGTGAGTGAATGAGTACCTGAGTGAGTGAATGAGTGACTGAGTGAGTGAGTGAATGAGTGAGTGAATGGGTGTGTTAGTGAGCGAGTAAGTGAACGAGTGAGTGAATGAGTGAACGAGTGAGTGAATGCATGAGTGAATGGGGATTGAGTGAGTGAATGAGTGAATGAGTGAGTGAATGAGTGAGTGAATGAGTAACTGAGTGAGTGAATGAATGAGTGAGTGAATGAGTGAGTGAATGAGTGAGTGAACGAGTGAGTGAATGAGTGAGTGAACGGGAATTGAGTGAGTGAATGAGTGAGTGAATGAGTACCTGAGTGAGTGAATGAGTGACTGAGTGAGTGAGTGAATGAGTGAGTGAATGGGTGTGTTAGTGAGCGAGTAAGTGAACGAGTGAGTGAATGAGTGAACGAGTGAGTGAATGCATGAGTGAATGGGGATTGAGTGAGTGAATGAGTGAATGAGTGAGTGAATGAGTGAGTGAATGAGTAACTGAGTGAGTGAATGAATGAGTGAGTGAATGAGTGAGTGAATGAGTGAGTGTCTCTTCAGGGGAGTTCATCATTGGCCGAGTGATCCGTGCCATGAACTGCGCCTGGCACCCCGCCTGCTTCCGCTGTGACGCGTGCGGCGCGCAGCTAGTGGGGAGCGGCTTCGTGAGGAGCGCGGACAGGTAGGCGTGGAGACAGGGGACAGGGGACAGGTAGGCGGGGACTGGTAGGCGGGGACTGGTAGGCGGGGAGACAGGGGACAGGGGACAGGTAGGCGGGGACAGCTAGGCGGGGAGACAGGGGACAAGGGGACAGGTAGGCGGGGACAGGTAGGCGGGGAGACAGGGGACAAGGGGACAGGTAGGCGGGGACAGGTAGGCGGGAAGACAGGGGACAAGGGGACTGGTAGGCGGGGACTGGTAGGCGGGGACTGGTAGGCGGGGAGACAGGGGACAAGGGGACAGGTAGGCGGGGACAGCTAGGCGGGGAGACAGGGGACAAGGGGACAGGTAGGCGGGGACAGGTAGGCGGGGAGACAGGGGACAAGGGGACTGGTAGGCGGGGAGAGGTAGGCGGGGACTGGTAGGCGGGGACAGGTAGGCGGGGACAGGTAGGCGGGGAGACAGGGGACAAGGGGACAGGTAGGCGGGGACTGGTAGGCGGGGACAGGTAGGCGGGGAGACAGGGGACAGGGGACAGGTAGGCGGGGAGACAGGGGACAAGGGGACTGGTAGGCGGGGAGAGGTAGGCGTGGACTGGTAGGCGGGGACAGGTAGGCGGGGAGACAGGGGACAAGGGGACTGGTAGGCGGGGAGAGGTAGGCGGGGACTGGTAGGCGGGGACAGGTAGGCGGGGAGACAGGGGACAAGGGGACAGGTAGGCGGGGAGAGGTAGGCGGGGACAGGTAGGCGGGGACAGGTAGGCGGGGAGACAGGGGACAAGGGGGCAGGTAGGCAGGGAGAGGTAGGCGGGGACAGGTAGGCGGGGAGACAGGGGACAAGGGGACCCGTGGTTACAGTGTGAGGGAGTCTCTGGTGATGTAACTGATGGCAAAGTGTGAACGGTGAAGTGACAATGGCCATGGGTCATTGCCAGTGCCGATACGCCAATTCTAATGTAATGTACCAATTCTAATGTGACAACTCTAATGTAAGGTACCAATTCTAATGTGCCAATTCTAATGTGCCAATTCTAATGTAATGTACCAATTCTGATGCACCAATTCTAATGTAATGTACCAATTCTAATGTAACAATTCTAATGTAGTGTACCAATTCTGATGTGCCAATTCTAATGTACCAATTCTAATGTAATGTACCAATTCTAATGCACCAATTCTAATGTAATGTACCAATTCTAATGTGCCAATTCTAATGTACCAATTCTAATGTACCAATTCTAATGTAATGTACCAATTCTAATGCACCAATTCTAATGTAATGTACCAATTCTAATGTAATGTATCACTTCTAATGTGCCAATTCTAATGTACCAATTCTAATGCGCCAATTCTAATGCACCAATTCTAATGCACCAATTCTAATGTACCAATTCTAATGTGCCAATTCTAACGTGCCAATTCTAATGTAATGTACCAATTCTAATGTGACAATTCTAACGTAGGGTACCAATTCTAATGTACCAATTCTAATGTACCAATTCTAATGCACCAATTCGAATGTACCAATTCTAATGTACCAATTCTAATGGGCCATTCTAATGTAATGTACTAATTCTAATGTACCAATTCTAACGTAATGTACTAATTCTAATGCGCCAATTCTAATGTAATGTACCAATTATAATGTGACAATTCTAATGTATTCTAGATTTAAAGCTTTCGTGACTGCTAGGATCCATACTCTTTGGTTCTATTGGGTAAAGTCACGTAGGTAAAAAATAAAATAACAAAAATCACGACGTTTCGACCACAACACAAGCGGCCTTCATCAGGTGAAGGGACGAGACTGTCTGGAGGACAGCGCTGGAGTGAAAAAAGCCACGCTCAGATCACGACCTTTAAGATGTGTGAGAAGAAACAAAGCGCCTTGACAAAGGAATTAGCATAGAATTTAGCATTGAAATGGCTCATTGAAATAGCTAAGTTAAAGTATACACATCCGCAGAGGCACCCCTTGACAAAGGAATTAGCATAGAATTTAGCATTGAAATGGCTCATTTCTTCTCACACAGCTTAAAGGTCGTGATCTGAGCGTGGCTTCTCTCACTCCAGCGCTGTCCTCCAGACAGTCTCGTCCCTTCACCTGATGAAGGCCGCTTGTGTTGTGGCCGAAACGTCGTGATTTTTTGTTATTTTATTTTCACCTACGTGACTTTACCCAATAGAACCAAAGAGTATAATTCTAATGTAATATACCAATTCTAATGTACCAATTCTAATGTAATGTACCAATTCTAATGTGACAATTCTAATGCACCAATTCTAATGTACCAATTCTAATGTAATGTACCAATTCTAATGTGACAATTCTAATGTACCAATTCTAATGTACAAATTCTAATGTAATGTACCAATTCTAATGTACCAATTCTAATGCACCAATTCTAATGTACCAATGCGAATGCGTTAGTACCGATGTACCAATAGCGACGTGCCAATGCTGCCGTGACGGTGTTGACGTGATGATGTTAACGTGATGGTGTTAACGTGATGGTGTTAACGTGGCAGTGTTGACGTGATGATGTTAACGTGATGGTGTTAACGTGACGGTGTTGACGTGATGGTGTTGATGTGACGGTGTTGATGTGACGGTGTTCATGTGATGGTGTTGATGTGATGGTGTTGACGTGATGGTGTTGATGTGACGGTGTTGATGTGACGGTGTTCATGTGATGGTGTTGATGTGATGGTGTTGACGTGATGGTGTTGATGTGATGGTGTTGACGTGATGGTGTTGATGTGATGGTGTTGACGTGATGGTGTTGATGTGATGGTGTTGACGTGATGGTGTTGACGTGATGGTGTTGATGTGACGGTGTTGACGTGACAGTGTTAACGTGATGATGTTAACGTGAAGGTGTTAACGTGACAGTGTTAACGTGATGGTGTTGATGTGACGGTGTTAACGTGACAGTGTTAACGTGATGATGCTAACGTGACAGTGTTAACGTGACGGTGTTGATGTGACGGTGTTAACGTGACAGTGTTAACGTGATGATGTTAACGTGACAGTGTTAACGTGATGATGTTAACGTGACAGTGTTAACGTGATGGTGTTAACGTGAAGGTGTTAACGTGATGATGTTAACGTGACGGTGTTGATGTGATGGTGTTAACGTGACAGTGTTAACGTGACAGTGTTAACGTGACGGTGTTAACGTGATGATGTTAACGTGACAGTGTTAACGTGACAGTGTTAACGTGCCCCCCGCGTGCCAGGCACCTGTGCCACCCGTGCCACGCGGCGGCGGTGTCACGTGGGAGGGGTCCCAGCTCGCTGTGCCGCCGCTGCCGCCTCCCCATCGAGGGCGGCGCCCTCGTGGTGGGGGGAGACGCCTTCCACCCCGAGCACTTCAGCTGCGGCGGCTGTGGGTGAGCACCACGCTCCTCACCACACTCCTCACCACTACACTCACCACTACACTCACCACCACAGGGAGACGCCTTCCACCCCGAGCACGCTGCGGCGGCTGTGGGTGAGCACCACGCTCCTCACCACTGAAACACTCCTCACCACCACGCTCCTCACCACACTCCTCACCACTACACTCACCACCAGCACACTCACCACCACACTCACCACCACAGGGAGACGCCTTCCACCCCGAGCACTTCAGCTGCGGCAGCTGTGGGTGAGCACCACGCTCCTCACCACTGAAACACTCCTCACCACCACGCTCCTCACCACACTCCTCACCACTACACTCACCACCACAGGGCGACGCCTTCCACCCCGAGCACTTCAGCTGCGGCGGCTGTGGGTGAGCACCACGCTCCTCACCACTGAAATACTCCTCACCACTGAAACACTCCTCACCACCAGCACACTCACCACCAGCACACTCACCACCACCACACTCACCACCAGCACACTCACCACTACACTCACCACCCCCACACTCCTCACCACCACGCTCCTCACCACTGAAACACTCCTCACCACTACACTCACCACCACAGGGCGACGCCTTCCACCCCGAGCACTTCAGCTGCGGCGGCTGTGGGTGAGCACCACGCTCCTCACTGAAACACTCCTCACCACCACACTCCTCACCACCACACTCCTCACCACCACACTCACCACCACCACACTCACCACCAGCACGCTCCTCACCACCACGCTCCTCACCACCACCACACTCACCACCAGCACACTCACCACCAGCACGCTCCTCACCACCACGCTCCTCACCACCACCACACTCACCACCAGAACACTCACCACCACGCTCCTCACCACCACGCTCACCACCACCACGCTCCTCACCACCACCACATTCACCACCAGCACACTCACCACCAGCACGCTCCTCACCACCACGCTCCTCACCACCACCACACTCACCACCAGAACACTCACCACCACGCTCCTCACCACCACGCTCCTCACCACCACGCTCACCACCAGCACGCTCATCACCAGCAAAACGCTCACCATCAGCACGCTCACCACCAGCACGCTCCTCACCACCACCACACTCACCATCAGCACGCTCACCACCACCACACTCCTCACCGCCACACGCTCACCACCACGCTCCTCACCAGCACCACGCTCACCACCGCCACGCTCCTCACCGCCACGCTCCCTTGCGCGCGAGTTTGTGTGTGCTCACCAATACACACTCACCACTGTGTGTGTGTGCTCACCAATACACACTCACCACTGTGTGTGTGCTCACCAATACACACTCACCACTGTGTGTGTGTGCTCACCAATACACACTCACCACTGTGTGTGTGTGCTCACCAATACACACTCACCACTGTGTGTGTGCTCACCAATACACACTCACCACTGTGTGTGTGCTCACCAATACACACTCACCACTGTGTGTGTGCTCACCAATACACACTCACCACTGTGTGTGCTCACCAATACACACTCACCACTGTGTGTGTGCTCACCAATACACACTCACCAGTGTGTGTGTGTGCTCACCAATACACACTCACCAGTGTGTGTGTGTGTGCTCACCAATACACACTCACCACTGTGTGTGTACTTACCAATACACACTCACCACTGTGTTTGTGCTCACCAATACACACTCACCACTGTGTTTGTGCTCACCAATACACACTCACCACTGTGTGTGTGTGTGTGCTCACCAATACACACTCACCACTGTGTGTGTACTCACCAATACACACTCACCACTGTGTGTGCTCACCAATACACACTCACCACTGTGTGTGTGCTTACCAATACACACTCACCACTGTGTGTGTACTCACCAATACACACTCACCACTGTGTGTGTACTCACCAATACACACTCACCACTGTGTGTGCTCATCAATACACACCACTGTGTGTGTGCTCACCAATACACACTCACCACTGTGTGTGTGTGCTTACCAATACACACTCACCACTGTGTGTGTGCTCACCAATACACACTCACCAGTGTGTGTGTGTGCTCACCAATACAAACTCACCACTGTGTGTGTACTCACCAATACACACTCACCACTGTGTGCATGTGCTCACCAATACACACTCACCACTGTGTGTGTGCTCACCAATACACACTCACCACTGTGTGTGTACTCACCAATACACACTCACCACTGTGTGTGCTCACCAATACACACTCACCACTGTGTGTGTGCTTACCAATACACACTCACCACTGTGTGTGTACTCACCAATACACACTCACCACTGTGTGTGTGTGTGCTCACCAATACACACTCACCACTGTGTGTGTGCTCATCAATACACACCACTGCGTGTGTGCTCACCAATACACACTCACCACTGTGTGTGTGTGCTCACCAATACACACTCACCACTGTGTGTGTGTGTGTGCTCACCAATACACACTCACCACTGTGTGTGTGCTCACCAATACACACTCACCAGTGTGTGTGTGTGCTCACCAATACACACTCACCACTGTGTGTGTGCTCACCTATACACACTCACCACTGTGTGTGTGTGTTCACCAATACACACTCACCACTGTGTGTGTGTGCTCACCAATACACACTCACCACTGTGTGTGTGTGCTCACCAATACACACTCACCACTGTGTGTGCTCACCAATACACACTCACCACTGTGTGTGTGCTCACCAATACACACCACTGTGTGTGTGCTCACCAATACACACTCACCACTGTGTGTGTGCTCACCAATACACACTCACCACTGTGTGTGTGTGCTCACCAATACACACTCACCACTGTGTGTGTGTGTGTGCTCACCAATACACACTCACAACTGTGTGTGTGCTCACCAATACACACTCACAGCTGTGTGTGCTCACCAATACACACCACTGTGTGTGTGTGCTCACCAATACACACTCACCACTGTGTGTGTGTGTGTGTGCTCACGACTGCCAGTCCCTTGTGGGGAGCGGTGGTGCAGCAGTTAGCGCTACGCTACGCTACGAACCCGGCGACCCAAGTTCGATTTGCCGCTCACGGCCACCACCAACACCACAGTGACGATTATCTGAACCGGTCCTGGGCTTCCTCCCCTAGGTCTACTCAGCCTCAAATGAGTACCTGGGGCGGCGTGTAGTGAACATCGCCACTGGGGAGACAAAGGCGGCCGGGCGTGGCACTAGCCACCCGCCACCTCCTGTGCCATGCCGACCTTCATAGGTGCTGCTACTCGCTAACAGCACTTGCCCCTACAGTCTGTTCAGGGCTATACGAGGGGGTCTTTAAGCTACTGGAGTGTCTTGAATCACGGACGAATAAACTCCTTTTGAGGCACACACTGTTTATTGTCTTTTTCCTCCGACACGGTCCCTAACACACAAGGGGTACACGGTCCCCTTACCCCTTAAGCTCCGGGTCTGGCGAGACCTCCACACAGGTCTACTTGCTAACCTAGGGAGGTTACAGCCTCCGGACTCGGCGGGACTTACACTTAAGTCTTCCCGCTAACCTAGCGTCCTCCGCCGGGGACCTAGGGGAGGCTAGCTGACCCACCGCTGGCTCTCTGGGACCCCGACCACTGGTCAGGCTGAGCCTCAGCCCTTAGAAGGGCCGGAAGACTGAGACCCAGACCCAAGGTCCTGCCTATCCAGGACCTATTCTCCCCCGACCACTGGTCAGGCTGAGCCTCAGCCCTTAGAAGGGCTGGAAGGCTTGGTCCAGGTTCCTGCCAATCCAGGACCTATTCTCCCCTGACCACTGGTCACGTTGAGCCTCAGCCCTTAGAAGGGCTGGAAGACTGGGAGCCAGGTTCCTGCCTATCCAGGACCTATTCTCCCCTGACCACTGGTCAGGCTGAGCCTCAGCCCTTAGAAGAGCCGGAAGGCTTGGTCCAGGTTCCCAGCTGTCTCACCCTTTTATACCGGTGTGTGGCTGGCTCTGTCCAATCCCACGCTCCCTCATGGAACCCTCTGATTGGTCCTTCCCAATCTCTGATTTCGATCCCCTCTCACCTCTCCCTGACCACGGAAGGTTTTTTTTTTTCCCCAGAGAGGTAACGCTGCATCGCCCCTTTGATAGTGGCACTGCAGGTTACCAAATAGTGAGTAGCTATCATCTCTGCATCATTATACAAATGATAGCGCGACACAGTTGGCCTATCGCCATGTGGGAATGTATAGCAGTAGCCAAAGATCCACGCGACCACGGGGAGAGAGACGCAGACTCCAAATATACAGCAGCAGGCGTCAGGGTCGGGGTCGAACCCATGACCTCCTGTATACCAGGCGAGGTAGTTAACATCTCCTAGCCACCCTGCCCCGTGCTCACTCACTCGCCCACACACTCACTCACTCACCCGTGTGCTCGCTCACTCACCCACTCACTCACCCGTGTGTGTGTGCTCGCCCACCCGTGTGTGTGCTCACTCACCCACCCACCCGTGTGCTCACTCACCCGTGTGTGTGCTCACTCACCCGTGTCTCACCCACCCACCCACCCGTGTGTGTGCTCACTCACTCACTCACCCGTGTCTCACCCAGCCGTGTGTGTGCTTACCCACCCACCCGTGTGTGTGCTCACTCACTCACCCGTGTCTCACTCACTCACCCGTGTCTCATTCACTCACCCGTTTCTCACTCACTCACCCACCCGTGTGTGTGCTCACTCACTCACCCGTGTGTGTGCTCACTCACCCGAGTCTTACTCACTCACCCGTATGTGTGCTCACTCACTCACCCGTGTGCTCAATCACTCACCCGTGTCTCACTCACTCACTCACCCACCCACCTGTGTGTGTGCTCACTCACTCACCCGTGTCTCACTCACTCATCCGTATGTGTGCTCGCTCACCCACCCACCCACGTCTCACCCACCCACCCACCCGTGTCTCACTCACTCACCCACCCACCCAGCCGTGTCTCACTCACCCACCCGTGTCTCACTCACCCACCCACCCACCCGTGTCTCACTCACCCACCCACCCACCCGTGTCTCACTCACCCACCCACCCACCCGTGTCTCACTCACCCACTCACCCACCCGTGTCTCACTCACCCACCCACCCACCCGTGTCTCACTCACCCACCCACCCACCCGTGTCTCACTCACCCACCCATCCACCCGTGTCTCACTCACCCACTCACCCGTGTCTCACTCACCCACCCACTCACCCGTGTCTCACTCACCCACCCACCCACCCGTGTCTCACTCACCCACTCACCCGTGTGTGTGCTCGCTCACTCACCCACCCACCCGTGTCTCACTCACTCACCCACCCACCCACCCGTGTCTCACCCACCCACCCACCCGTGTCTCACTCACCCACCCACCCACCCGTGTCTCACTCACCCACTCACCCGTGTGTGTGCTCGCTCACTCACCCACCCACCCGTGTCTCACTCACCCACACACCCGTGTCTCACTCACTCACCCGTGTGTGTGCTCACCCACCTACCCACCCGTGTCTCACTCACCCACCCACCCACCCGTGTGTGTGTGTGTGCTCCCCCGTGTGTGTGTGTGTGCTCGCCCACCCGTGTGTGTGTGTGTGTGCTCCCCCGTGTGTGTGTGTGCTCCCCCGTGTGTGTGTGTGTGCTCACCCACCCGTGTGTGTGCTCACCCACCCGTGTGTGTGCTCACCCACCCGTGTGTGTGCTCACCCACCCGTGTGTGTGTGTGTGTGCTCACCCACCCGTGTGTGTGTGTGTGTGCTCGCCCCGCCGTGCAGGCGCGAGCTGGGCGAGGACTCGGCAGAGGAGGAGGGGGCGGGCGGCACAGCAGCAGCCGGCGGCCCCCGCCTGCTGTGCCGCCCGTGCCGGGACCGTGCGGGCCCCACGTGCGGGGCGTGCCGCAGGCCCCTGGAGAGCCGCGGAGTGAGAGCCATGGGCAGGGACTGGCACGTGGAGGTGGGGGTGGGGGGAGAGGTGGGGGGGAGGTGGGGGGGAGAGGTGGGGGGGGAGGTGGGGTGGGGGTGGGGGGGAGAGAGGTGCTCACCCACCTACCCACCCGTGTCTCACTCACCCACCCACCCGGGAGAGGTGGGGGGGAGAGGCGGGGGGGAGAGGCGGGGGGGGAGAGGCGGGGGGGGAGAGGCGGGGGGGGAGAGGTGGGGGGGGAGAGGTGGGGGGGGAAAGGTGGGGGGGAAAGGCGGGGGGGAAAGGTGGGGGGGGGAGAGGCGTTCTGTATGAACTGCGGTGTTTTATGAAAGTTCTTGGCTGCAAAACAAAAACGTGAAAAGCCTTTGCATGGTTCTGAATGAAGGGGGAATGCCGGTGTGCTGTGCATGCAATGATGCGCCGCGTCGTTGAGATTTAGAAATTTCTGCAGCGATTGATGGATAATTAATTCATGCAAATTGTATGCAAGTCATTTCCTAATATTTAAGCAACAACAAAAAATTACAAATGAGACCAAACAAATGTGAAACGACACAAACGAGTCGATTTTAAAACGTCATAATGAAATAAATAACTACTTGAAATAATTCTTTGATTCAAGAGCCGAATGGCTCACAGGGCCATACCAAATAAATTAATCTATGAAACTAAACTACGAGACACCCCATCACCCCCCCCACCCCCACAACCCCACCACACCACCACCACCACCACCACCCCACCCCACCACCCCCACCACCAACCCCACACCCCACCACCACAACACCACCACACCACCACCACCACCACCACCACCACCACCCCACCACCACCACCACCACCCCCACCCCACCACCACCCCCCCGCGTGTGATCCTGGTTTGTGTCCCCCCCAGCACTTCGTCTGTGCCAAGTGTGAGAAGCCGTTCCTGGGCCACCGGCACGTGGAGCGCAACGGCCTGGCCTACTGCGAGACGCACTACAACCAGGCACGGCCCCGACCCTGACCCCCGCTCCCGAGCCTGACCTCAACCCCCGACCCTGCCCCCTGACCCTGACCCTGACCCCGACCCTAGTCCCTGCCGCATTTCTTCCTTTTCCCCTGCAAGGCGACGATCGCCGCCCCTACCGGGACCGGCCGCGTGGTGTGACCGGCCACGTGGTGCGACCGGCCACGTGGTGTGACCGGCCACGTGGTGCGACCGGCCACGTGGTGTGACCGGCCACGTGGTGCGACCGGCCGCGTGGTGTGACCGGCCGCGTGGTGTGACCGGCCACGTGGTGCGACCGGCCACGTGGTGCGACCGGCCACGTGGTGCGACCCGCAGCGTGCGCCTGGTGCAGAGTCGGGAGCGGTGGCGCAGCGGTTAGCACCGCGCCGTCCTACGAACCCGGCCGACACCCGAGTAACCATTCCCGCTCGCGAGCGAGCGATACCGGCGGCGACTATGTGAACCTGGCCCTGGGCTTCCAACTCGGTCGACTCGGCCTTAAATTAAGACTTGGGTGCGGTGTGAATAACCATGGCCACTGGGGAGACAAAGGCGGCCGGGCGCGGTGCTGGCCACCCAACCCCATCGTGTGCCACAGTGCCGGCCTTCACAGGTGCTGCTGCTCGCTAACAGCACTTGCCCCGACAGTCTGGCAAGGCTGTATGGGGGATCTTTGTCTTGTTAGTAGCACTTGCCCCGACACCGTAAGACCGGCGCGTTGATCAGCATCAGAACTGGGGAGACAAAGGCGGCCGGGAGACAAAGGTGCCAGCGCCTGGCGCATGCCTTGCCGCGTCTCAACCCGCGCTCGTTAAACAGCACTTGCCCCGGCAGCCCGGTTGGAGGCTACACGGGGGATCTTTGTCATTGTGTGGCGTTATCCATCAACCCTGGCGGGGCATGTGGGCCGAGTGGCAATGAGATGTTGACTACCTCGCCGGGTGTGCAGGAGGTCGTGAGTTAGATCCCGACCCTGACGACGCCTGCTGCTGTATATTTGGAGCTTGTGTCTCTCTCTCATCATCATCACGGTGACCAGGAGATGTTGACTACCTCGCCGGGTGTGCAGGAGGTCGTGAGTTAGATCCCGACCCTGACGCCTGCTGCTGCTGTAGATTTGGAGTCTGCGTCTCTCTCATCATCATCATCATCACGGTGGCTAGGAGATGTTGACTACCTCGCCTGGTGTGCAGGAGGTCGTGGGTTCGATCCCGACCCTGACGTCTGCTGCTGCTGCTGTAGATTTGGAGTCTGCGTCCCTCTCTCTCTCCCCGCGGTCCCGTGGATTTTTCTCCGGGTCCTCCGGTTTTTCCCTCCCCGTTTGGAATCAACGTCTCTACGCGTGTTGGAATATTTGGCGGCAGCTAAACATTTCTACATGGTGGTGGTGATGATGATGATGACAATTATCCACTTCGTTGAGCTATTTCTTTTGTGGCCAGGTCGCGTCTGAAAGAAAAAGTTTCATAGCTCGGTGGGCATTACCTGCCGGTAAAATGAAACATTGTTTTGGTTTGAATGGTGGGGAGCGGTAGTGCAATGATTACAGCGCCGAGCCGCGCTACGAACCCTGGCCACCCGAGTTGGATTCCTGCTCACAGCCAACACCACAGTGACGATTATCTGAACCGGTCTTGGGCCTCCCCTAGGTTGACTCAGCCTCAAATGAGTACCTGGTGCGGTGTGTAGTAAACATCGTCACTGGGGGAGACAAAGGCGGCCGGGCGTGGTGCTGGCCACCCACCCCCTCGTGTGCCGTGCCGGCCTTCATAGGTGCTGCTCGCTAACAGCACTTGCCCCAAGAGTCTGTCAAGGCGACACGGGTTACCTTTGTCTTTGTATGTGTCTGTGTGTAGCTGTTTGGTGACATCTGCTTCCATTGCAATCGCGTGGTGGAGGGAGACGGTAGGAATCATTACCAACATCACTACCACCATCACTACCATCATTATCACCACCATCATTACCATCATTATCACCACCACCATCACCACCACCACCATGACTACCATCATCATCACCACCATCAACACCACCATCACTACCATCATCATCACCACTACCACCATCACAATAATGAATACCAGCATCACCACCACCATCATTACCAACATCACTACCACCATCATTACCAACATCACCACCATCACCACCACCATCACTACCATCATCATCACCACTACCACCACCACAATCATGACTACCAACATCATCACCATAATTACCATCATCATCACCACCACCACAATCATGACTACCAACATCACCACCATCATTACCATCATCATCATCACCACCACCACAATCATGACTACCAACATCACCACCATCATTACCGTCATCATCATCACCACCACAATCATGACTACCAACATCACCACCATCATTACCACCACCACCACCACCACCACAATCATGACTACCAACATCACCATCATTACCATCATCATCACCACCACCACCACCACAATCATGACTACCAACATCACCACCATCATTACCATCATCACCACCACCACCATCATCACCACTAGAGATGGACCGAAATTGAATTTCTGGTTTCGGCCGAAACCGAAAGTCAACTGAAAGTTAGAAATTGACTTTCGGCCATTTGCTAACTTTCGCCGCCGAAACCGAATTTCGGTCGGCCTCTAATCACCACCATCACTGCCATCATCATCATCACCACCACCACCATCATCACTACCATCATCATCATCCTTCACCATCACAATCATCACTACCAACATCACCACTACCATCACCACCTCAACTATCATCACCATCATCATTATCACCACCATCACCACTATAACCACCACCGCCATCACCACTATCACCATCAGTAGCATCACCACCATCACAATTAATGCCAATTACCATAATCATCATAACCATTAACACCTTCCTTATCTCCATTATGGAGTTGATAGTAAATTCACCTGAGCTCACATGTGTGACAGTGAACACCCCTGTCAACTCACCTGTGCCATGACCTCACCTCGTCAACAACTCACCTGTGCCGTGACCTCACCTCGTCAACAACTCACCTGTGCCGTGACCTCACCTCGTCAACAACTCACCTGTGCCATGACCTCACCTGCACCACAACTCACCTGTGCCGTGACCTCACCTTGTCAACAACTCACCTGTACCGTGACCTCACCTCGTCAACAACTCACCTGTGCCATGACCTTACATGCACCACAACTCACCTATGCCGTGACCTCACCTCGTCAACAAATCACCTGTGCCATGAGCTCACATGCACCACAACTCACCTGTGCCATGTGCTCACCTCCACCACAACTCACCTGTGCTATGACCTTACATGCGTGGTAGTGAGCTCACCTTGACACCACAGTGAGCTCACCTGCACCACAGCTCACCTGTGCCATGAGCTCACCTGCACCACAACTCACCTGTGCCATGAGCTCACCTGCACCACAGCTCACCTGTGCCATGACCTCACCTGCACCACAACTCACCTGTGCCATGAGCTCACCTGCACCACAACTCACCTGTACCATGACCTCACCTGCACCACAACTCACCTGTACCATGACCTCACCTGCACCACAACTCACCTGTACCATGACCTCACCTGCACCACAACTCACCTGTGCCGTGACCTCACCTGCACCATAACTCACCTGTACCATGACCTCACCTGCACCACAACTCACCTGTGCCGTGACCTCACCTGCACCACAACTCACCTGTGCCGTGACCTCACCTGCACCACAACTCACCTGTGCCATGACCTCACCTGCACCACAACTCACCTGTACCATGAGCTCACCTGCACCACAACTCACCTGTGCCATGACCTCACCTGCACCACAACTCACCTGTGCCATGACCTCACCTGCACCACAACTCACCTGTGTCACAGTCCTCTCGGCGCTCAACAAGACGTGGTGCGTCTCGTGCTTCTGCTGCTCCGCCTGCCACGCGAAGCTCTCCGTCAAGTGAGGACCCCCCCCCCTCGACACGCCACGCACCGCCACACAAACACCGCTCACAGTGGGGGGGGTGGGTGGAGATGGGCGGGGCAAGGGTCGGGGCAAGAGGCGGGGCAAGGGGCGGGGCGGAGTCATCACAGCGACGTACCGACATCGTCATTGTCATCATCACGTGCCATCGCCCCGTAGGTATCCCACGACACATTTCGTCATTTGTGATGATGCCATGTAGGGCAGTGTGCACGCAGACGCCACCCTCCCTCAGCAGTGAGCTTGGGAGACCATCTCTAGCACGGCGCTTTTGCCGGTCTCAGACTCCGGATCGCCCCTCGTGGCTTCCTCAACAGACGGCTCCTCAGCCAGCCACTCACAGTGGGGGGTGCGGTGGCTTCTTCTGCCAATGTCTAAGGCACTGGCAGCTCCAGCGAGGCCGTTCCCACCTTGTCCTATGATGTCGTCTGGGCTGAGGGAATTCCCTTCCCCTAAGACCTCACACAAATGCTCTGCAAACCTGCAGACCTGTTCCTGGGAGTCAAGGATCGGATCACCCTTTCTTCCCCACAGTGATGGGTGAGGAGGCGCTGCAAGGTACTTTTATATAGTGACTGCGAGCTTACTGAGGCAGACGCCATCCCCTCAGCAACCCATGACCACCACTCGTCCTTGCAACGCCGCATTGGCTTTCCAAACCTCCGAGCGAAGGCTGCGGTAAGCCTCCTCATTCTCTGGTGTGGGATTCTGTAGCCGATGACAGTGGGCCTGTCGCTTTTTCTCAACCATCCTGAACACCTCCTCTGTCAGCCAGGGTCTCTGGGGAGGTCTGGACCGCGTACCCAAAGCAGCCATTGCAGCTGCATGAGCCACATTCCTAAACTTCGCCCACTTTCCCTCAGCAGCAGGATGAGTGAGGGACGATGCCAACCCCAGCCGCAAGCGATGATGACATTCTTGCTTGCAACTTTCATCAGCTAGATGAGACCAGGCCACTGTGGGTTTGAATGGGGTCCTGAGTGTACACCCACCACCGGAGTGGAAGAATGGCAGGCGCATCTTAAAGATGACGAGTCGATGGTCAGTGGGCAGGTCAGCTCCACGGTAGGTCCTGGTGTCAAGGACATGGGCTCGCATCCGCTGTTCCGTCACTATGTAGTCCAGCAGATGTTCTTGCTTGGATCTAGCATGCATCCATGATGTTGTGTTGGTAATTACAAGCCCATGGGTTGCACAAAAGTCTAGCAGCCTCCTACCATTGTTATTGAGCTGATCTGGTCCATGCCATCTAATCACTCCAGACCAGGTGCCAGCATCATGACCACCAACTCGGGCATTAAAGTCACCCAACAGGAAAACTCTATCCCGAGGGGCCACTTTAGCCAGCACCTGTGACAGGAGGTCATAGAAGGCATTTGACTCATTGACCTTGCCTGCATCCCTCCACTGATGTTTATCTTCGGTCGGAGCATAAGTAACCACGACTACCACTCCTCGCCTCTGGTTGATGGGAAAGCGAGGCCACAATAGTCTGGGGCTTACAGCTTCCCACACCCCCTTCATTATTTTGTTCAGAAGAAGAGCCACTCCCTGTTGTTTGGCAGTCTCCTGCCCCGAGAAGAGGACTGTCCACCCCTCATGGTGGCAGGCGCCAGAGCCGGTCCACCGGACCTCCTGAATGCCACAGAGATCCAGGCGGTACCGGTCCAGCTCCTGACAGAGGAGTGGCAGCCTCTCTTCCGCAGTGAGCGTTCGAACATTCCACGTGGCCACACGAAGTGGCTTTTCGTTGTCTCTGCCAAATGGGGTTTGGCCAGGAGACGTCACAGAAGCCTGAAGCCCCCCACCCCCCCCTGAAGCCCCCCACCCCCCCTGAAGCCCCTCACCACCTGAAGCCCCCCACCCCCCCTGAAGCCCCTCACCCCCCCTGAAGCCCCTGCCCCCTGAAGCCCCTCCCCCCCTGAAGCCCCTCCCCCCTGAAGCCCCCCACCCCCCCTGAAGCCCCTCCCCCCCTGAAGCCCCTCCCCCCATGAAGCCCCCCACCCCCTTTGAAGCCCCCCCCTGAAGCCCCCTCACCCCCTGAACCCCCTCACCCCCTGAAGCCCCTCCCCCCCTGAACCCCCTCCCCCCCTGAAGCCCCCCTCCCCCCCTGAAGCCCCTCCCCCCCTGAACCCCCTCACCCCCTGAAGCCCCTCCCCCCCTGTAGCCCCTCCCCCCTGAAGCCCCTCCCCCCCTGAACCCCCTCACCCCCCAGGATCGTGGAGGTGGACCAGACACCCGCGTTTTAGTGCTGTTTGCTTATCAGTCCATTGTACTTTCAGCTCTGCTGTTCAATCGCCCCACCTCCCATCCCCCTCTTGCCCCTCCCCCCCATGCCCCACCCCCCATCCCCCTCTTGCCCCTCCCCCCCATGCCCCACCCCCCATCCCCCTCTTGCCCCTCCCCCCCATGCCCCACCTCCCATCCCCCTCTTGCCCCTCCCCCCCATGCCCCACCTCCCATCCCCCTCTTGCCCCTTCCCCCCATGCCCCACCCCCCATCCCCCTCTTGCCCCTCCCCCCCATGCCCCACCTCCCCCCCCCTCTTGCCCCTCCCCCCATGCCCCACCTCCCATCCCCCTCTTGCCCCTCCCCCCATGCCCCACCTCCCCTCTTACCCCCCCGCCCCCCAGGACCCGCTTCGTGGAGGTTGACCAGAGGCCCGTCTGTAAGCGCTGCTTCTCGCGGCTGCCGCAGGAGCTGCGTCGGAGACTCGCGGCGCGGGGACGCGAGACGCGGGCCCAGCGCGGGGCGCGACCCTAGTGGGGGGATGGGGGGGCGGGGGCGGGGTGGGTGCCACCTCGATCACCACCACGGTCACACCTCGATCACCACCACGGTCATACCACAGTCACACCACGGTCACCACCACGGTCACACCACGGTCACACCACGGTCACACCACGGTCACCACCACGGTCCCACCACGGTCACACCACGGTCACACCACGGTTACCACCACGGTCACACCTCGATCACCACCACGGTCACACCACGGTCACCACCACGGTCACACCACGGTCACACCACGGTCACACCACGGTCACACCACGGTCACACCATGGTCACACCACGGTCACCACCACGGTCACCACCACGGTCACCACCTCGATCACCACCACGGTCACACCTCGATCACCACCACGGTCACCACCACGGTCACACCACTAAGGCAGCAGGCCCGGGTCACACCGGGACAGCTGGGAACCAGAATGTATAGAGACCACTGGACTTCTCGTACAGGGACCAATAGGCTCCTCACACGGTGGGCTACGGGGTCACACCGGGACCAATAGGCTCCTCACACAGGGGGCTACAGGGTCACACAGGGACCAATAGGCTCCTCACACAGGGGGCTACAGGGTCACACAGGGACCAATAGGCTCCTCACACAGGGGGCTACAGGGTCACACACGGACCAATAGGCTCCTCACACGGTGGGCTACGGGGTCACACACGGACCAATAGGCTCCTCACACGGGGGGCTACAGGGTCACACAGGGACCAATAGGCTCCTCACACGGGGGGCTACAGTGTCACACACGGACCAATAGGCTCCTCACACGGGGGGCTACAGGGTCACACAGGGACCAATAGGCTCCTCACACGGTGGGCTACAGGGTCACACACGGACCAATAGGCTCCTCACACAGGGGGCTACAGGGTCACACACGGACCAATAGGCTCCTCACACGGGGCTCCATAGGCTCCTCACGCAGTGACCCATTGGGCTACAAAGAGGGCCTGACCATTAGTAATGACACCGATCTTTAGCCAAGACCCTAACCTGTAACTATGACCCAGACCGTTAACTACGACTCTGACCTCTGGCATGCATTACCCCTCAACTCCGACTCCTAGATCCAGACTTTAAACTCTGACCTCCGACCTGACCTGTGACCTGAGCCTGAACTCATCAACTATCCCAGTCACTGACTCACAACTACTGTAACCATCAGCTCACTCACCCATTCACTCACGACTACTGGAGCCATCAACTCACTCAGCCACATAGAGACACATTGGTACTCTTAGAGACCTATGGAACACACACCGAGCTCCATTGCGACTCATAGAGACCCACACAATCACAGTGATAAATACATCAAGCCCGATAGAGATACATACCGACTCATCGAGATAAAAATCCATGGAGATTCGTAGAGACCCGTAGAGACACACAGAGACCAATCGGTGATCACAGACACCTATAGAACACACTGAGATACATAGAGCCCTATAGAGATACCCATAGAGAATCAAAGAGATACAGATCACTATAGAGATCCATGGAGATACAGTAAACTCAGAGACCCACGGAGATTCATCGAGACCCATAGAGATACATAAAGACCCATGGAGACACGTAGAAATACACAGAAATATAGAGATACATAGATATATAGAGATATATAGATACCCATAGACATACATAGAGACCCATAGAGATACAGAGACCCATAGAGATACAACGAGATACATAGAGATGCACAGATATACATAAAGACCCATAGAGATGCATAGAAATACACATATATAGAGATACATAGAGACCCATAGAGATATATAGAGACCCATAGAGATACAAAGAGATACATAGAGATGCACAGATATACATATAGACCCATAGATACCCATAGAGATACATAGAGATGCATAGAAATACACAGATACATAGAGACCCATAGAGATACATAGAGACCCACAGAGACACACTAAAGGCACCCCACTGTGGTCCACCCTCTCTCTCTCTCTGCTGAAGCCCTCTCGGCGTGGACACGGCAGCAGCAGACCTCAGCACTGGCACGTTTAGCTCCCGAACGTGTTGCTGACAGCATGACGCAAGAGCAGAACCAGCAGCAGCAGCAGCAGCAAAATCATTAGCATTTAACCACACTGGTCTGAAATAAACCCGGCGATCAGACTGTGTATGTGTGCGTGTCTGTGTGTGTGTGTGCGTGCGTGGGGAGCGGTAGTGTAGCGGCTAGCGCGCTGCGCTACGAACCAGGCGACCCGGGTTCCATTCCAGCTCACGGCCAACACCAGTGACGATTATTTAACCCGGTCCTAGGCCTCCCCTAGGACGACTCAGCATCAAATGAGTACCTGGTGCGGTGTGTAGTAAACATCGCCACTGGGAGACAAAGGCGGCCGGGCGTGGTGCTGGCCGCCAACCCCCTCGTTTGCCGTGCCGGCCCTTCATAGATGCTGCTCAGGAACAGCACTTGCCCCTACAGCCTGTTGAGGTTACACGGCGGATTCTTTCTTCATGTGTGAAATCAGCCCCACCACCACCCCCCACCACCACCCCCCACCACCACCACCCCCCACCACCACCACCACCATCATCACGACGCCTTCTCGTTCTCGTGATGTTGCAGACCAGGGCGGGGAAGAGGGGGTGGAGCTATCGGTAGCCAGATGAACAAGATGAGTCGATTATCTCTCTTGTTGTTCAAACCCAAATGGGTAATCAACTCGAGATGTCAACAAGGGCCGCCGCTGTGCACGTGGTGACTGACGTCACGAAGCAGCAGCCCGTTTAAAGAGCCGCACGTGGCCCCGGAGCCACGGGATGCCGACTCCCCCCCCACTCCCCCCCCCCCACTCCCCCACTGCGGTAGACGGTAGATGGTGGTTGTGGGCCGAGCCGCCTCCACCGAGCATAGCCGGAGGAGCTCCTCCGGCCTCCTCGGCGTCCCCGGCGCCACGCAGCGGACGTCCGGCAAGGACACCCAGCACCGGCACGGCAGGGCGTGCTGCCCTCGAGCTTAAACCCAGGAGGGCGTTGCTGGGTAAACGCGCCTCGAGCCGCTCTCGCGGCTTTCAAACACGAAGACGCCCTGCACGGCACTCGATGCAGCCGTGGCGGTGGTTGGGGCGGCTTCGAAGGTGGCGAACAAAACGACACCGTTGAGGACCCGAGACCGTGGAGAGTAGCGGCGATTCTGTCTCTCGCGTCGGCCACTGGAGCGCGCTCGGTGGGACGCAGCAACGGGAGACGCACGGCGTCGTGCCGCGTCATTACACGAGCGGGAAAAAATCGAAGGATCGGCAAATCTGCGACTGCGGTGAAGCCAAAAACCCTCAAACGCATCACCGGCGAGTGTGCGCCATCGAGGCCGCACGCCCCGGCGGTGTCTCTGCAATCCGGGCAGCGTCTACTGCCACCTTGGATTGGTTGAAGGGCCTCGACATTCAACTATGACATCATCAACACAATCCATACAGCGTCTACTGCCACCTTGGATTGGTTGAAGGGCCTCGACATTCAACTATGACATCATCAACACAATCCATACAGCGTCTACTGCCGCCTTGGATTGGTTGAAGGGCCTCCCCATTCAACTATGACATCATCTGCACAATCCATACAGCGTCTACTGCTGCTTTGGATTGGTTGAAGGGCCTCGACATTCAACTATGACATCATCTGCACAATCCATACAGCGTCTACTGCCACCTTGGATTGGTTGAAGGGCCTCGACATTCAACTATGACATCATCTGCACAATCCATACAGCGTCTACTGCCGCTTTGGATTGGTTGAAGGGCCTCGACATTCAACTATGACATCATCTGCACAATCCATACAGCGTCTACTGCCACCTTGGATTGGTTGAAGGGCCTCGACATTCAACTATGACATCATCTGCACAATCCATACAGCGTCTACTGCCACCTTGGATTGGTTGAAGGGCCTCGACATTCAACTATGACATCATCAACACAATCCATACAGCGTCTACTGCCGCCTTGGATTGGTTGAAGGGCCTCCCCATTCAACTATGACATCATCTGCACAATCCATACAGCGTCTACTGCTGCTTTGGATTGGTTGAAGGGCCTCGACATTCAACTATGACATCATCTGCACAATCCATACAGCGTCTACTGCCACCTTGGATTGGTTGAAGGGCCTCGACATTCAACTATGACATCATCTGCACAATCCATACAGCGTCTACTGCCGCTTTGGATTGGTTGAAGGGCCTCGACATTCAACTATGACATCATCTGCACAATCCATACAGCGTCTACTGCCACCTTGGATTGGTTGAAGGGCCTCGACATTCAACTATGACATCATCTGCACAATCCATACAGCGTCTAATGCCGCTTTGGATTGGTTGAAGGGCCTCGACATTAAACTATGACATCATCTGCACATCCATACAGCGTCTACTGCCACCTTGGATTGGTTGAAGGGCCTCGACATTCAACTATGACATCATCAACACAAGCCATACAGTGTCTACTGCCGCTTTGGATTGGTTGAAGGGACTCGACATTCAACTATGACATCATCTGCACAATCCATACAGCGTCTACTGCCGCTTTGGATTGGTTGAAGGGCCTCGACATTCAACTATGACATCATCAACACAATCCATACAGTGTCTACTGCCACCTTGGATTGGTTGAAGGGCCTCGACATTCAACTATGACATCATCTGCACAATCCATACAGCGTCTACTGCCGCTTTGGATTGGTTGAAGGGCCTCGACATTCAACTATGACATCATCTGCACAATCCATACAGCGTCTACTGCCACCTTGGATTGGCTGAAGGGCCTCGACATTCAACTATGACATCATCTGCACAATCCATACAGCGTCTACTGCCGCTTTGGATTGGTTGAAGGGCCTCGACATTCAACTATGACATCATCAACACAATCCATACAGCGTCTACTGCCGCTTTGGATTGGTTGAAGGGCCTCGACATTCAACTATGACATCATCAACACAATCCATAGTGTCT